ATTTCATCCTTAAATATTTCAATGTCAGATGTGTTTTAAAAACCGAAAGCCCACCAAACAGAGTATCAGACACCCTTAATCCCAGCACTCCCAAGACAGAGGCAGGCAGATCTCTGTGACAGCCAGGGCTGTTACAAAAAGAAGCCTTGTCTCAGTGGCAAAAAACAAACAAATGAAACAAACAAGAAAAACAAAAAACAAACAAAAACCAATCAATGCCAGGTTTTGGAGAGACAGCTCAGTAAGAAGGAAGCGCTGGCTGCTCTTCTAGGGGACACTTGTTCAAGTCTGAGCACCCACAACAGCTCACAGCCCTCTGTAACTCAGGGTTTCTATTGCCTTCTTCTGGCCTCTGCGGGCACCACACACACATGCTGTATATATAGATACAGGCAAAATAACCAGTCACATGAAGTAATAAAATAAAAAGTTAGGAGGAAAAACCCTTAAAACCCCAACCTCAGTACTCTGCTTTTCTACAGCTTAAAGAAACAAAAACTGAAAAGTTCACTAACATTCAAAAATGACATTATGTTTGCCATTATTTACTAGAAAAAGTAAGGGAGTTATGTTTCAACAATTTCATTGGCTTCATAATGACACCTAGTGGATTAAAAGTGCAATAGAAATAGTAAGACCAGGAACCACCACTGTACTAGGGCTGCATGGGCAAACCTTCACAGGACCAATTAGTAACAACAGCCTTTAGGAAATCGGCCTTTTTTCAAGAAAAATGTAAAGGAATACAAACTTTAAAATTTCATCATACATAATCCTTAATTCCCTACCTCACCTCATTTCTCTGACATTTTCCTTTATAAACTACCAACTACAAAGGTTTCTTCACTTATTCTAGAACATACCATGCACTGAGCCTACACTTTTCACTGTTTCTATTTCAAAAAGTCTCTTGAATTTATCAATTCAGTTTAGTACACTAACTCAAAATAAACAGTTCAATTCTGTCTCTAGCATGAATTCTCTCTCTGTACTATTTCCTTAGAATTTTAAATTTTGGAATTTCTACAATACATTTTTGGTGAAACACATCAAATATATATCTGTTTCCTACTTACTAAATTTGAAGTATAAGAGACTACAGTATATGTCCCCGAAAATTAAACCTATGGAGGATTCTATTTCATATATTATTAGTACCCCCTACAATGCACAACAAATACAGTACTTACATGTTGCCTGATGTGTTCTAGCCAGGCACGGTGTGCTCTACAGAAAAAATCCTTATTACAATGAGATTTGTAGTTATAATCATTATGGTAAAGACTAGATTTGTCCTTCACTCTTCTATCTTTTATAATGTATCCAGTGTCTAGTTTAATAAATTCTTCACTTTTTTTTTTCTCTTCTTTCTTTTATTGGCAGAGTCTACTTGGCCCAAGTATGGGCTCAAAAGTATATATTACCATGTCTGGTTCCTATTTATAAACTTAAAATTACAATAACTATAAAAATGATTGCTACAAGTCACACAATGACCCTAAACAAAGAAAAACCTTTGGACCAAAAGAAATTTGAGAACAAGAGTTGAAGATAATGGCATGTCTCTTCTAAAGCTCTACTTATACATATAGCCCAACTAAATAATGATCAAATACTGTGGGAAATGGAGGAAATCTGAGATAATGTATAATGCTGACACAGACACAGCCATTTCAAGGACCCTGGCTTAATTAGGATTTTATTGCTGTGAAGAGACACCACGGCCACAACTCTTATAAAGGAAAACATTTAACTGGGCCTGGCTTAAAGTCAATTATCAACATGGCAGGAAGCATGGTGACATGTAGATAGACATGGTGCTACAGAGTTCTACATCTGGATCAGCAGTCATCAGGAAGTGACTGTCACCCTGGGCAAGGCTTGAGCAACTGAGACCTCAAAACCTGCCCCCAGTGACCCACTCCTCCAAGGCCACACCAACTCCAACAATGCCACACATTCTAATAATGCCACTCCCTATGGGCCTACAGAAGCCATTGTCTTCAAACCACCATTCTATTCCCTGGCCCCCATAGGCTTGAAGCCATACCATAATACAGAAATGTATTAAGCCCTACTTCAAAAGTTCACACTTTGACAGTCTCAGTTTGGACTGTTTAAAAGTCCAAAGTTCAAAGTCTCTTCTGAGATTTATGCAATCTAGTAACTGTACAACCTTGGAAAATAAAAATAAAAAGCAGATTACATACTTCCAACATATCATGGCACAACACATATATACATTGCCATTCCATAAGAATGTAAAGGGAGCACAGGGAGGAAATACTGAACCAAAGTAAGACCTAAAACCATCTGCGCAAACTCCAAACTCTGCATCTCCATGTCTGATGTCAAAGTGCTCTTCAGATCTCCAACACCTTTCAACTTTGTTGACTGCAACACACTTCTTTCTCTTGACCTGGTTTCACTCCTTGTGAGCAGCTTTCTTTGGCAGGAAAGACGACTCTGGCATCTCCAGCATCTTGGAGTCTCCAAGGCAATCCAAGCTTCACCTTCACAGCTTCATGTAAGGGTCTCTCTAGGACTCCTTGCAGGGAACACCCCTGACACATGCCTGGCCTCAGTAGTTTTCCTTAGTCGTAGGAGATTCCATAACCCCTTTCTTCTATCCTTGACTCTGAAGCTGGAACCACATGGCTGAAGATGCCTACCTCATTCAATTACATATTCATTAGCATTCAGTTTTTGATGATTTCCTTCACTACCTAAGCTTGCCTGGCCTGGAACTTGATCTGAAGACCAAGTTGGCCTTAATCTCAGAGATCTGCCTGCCTCTGCCTTTGTAGTGATGGGATTAAAGGCGTGCACCACCACACCAGGTCTGTTCTTTTCATGACTGAAGTTTAGCTGGGTGGAAGCTCACCCTGAGGTCACCACTCCCTTTATTACATTTAATTCCAGGCTTTTCTTTAATCCTTTTATTTTATTTTAATCCATTTATTTCCTTGAACACAGGATTTAGCTCCATTCCACTTCCTGGTGCCCCGTTTCTCCTTGAACTGTACATTTTATATTTTTCCTTGCTCAGCTTGTTCCTCTTCATTATATATCTTTATAAGAGTGAACATTAATAACCACATGATAGACTTAATACTAGTCTGTTTTGAGATTTCCTCTGCCAACAAAACTAATTTAAAACTCTTCAATTTAGCCTCAGGCAGATTTTTTGAACAATGGAAGAATGCAGCCACATTCTTCACCAAAATATCACAAGAACTGTTTCTAGGCCTCATGCAAATATTCTTCTCCTCTGAAACCTCTTGAGCCAGGACCCCACAGTTGAAATCACCCTCAGCGCCAGATATGCATCACCCAAATATTGTTCCCCTACAGAGGTTTCTCCTGAGATCAGCTAAACATGCCTCCTCAATCCAGCTGTATATCATAAGCCCTGCTTCCTTGATTCACCTGGATGCAATAACCTACCTTACCACTCAACTGCATATAATGAACATGCTGAGCTTCTGAGGTGCTGTAACTTCTCTATCAGAGAAGCCAGTCCACCTGATCCCAGCTTTTCTGTCCATGTGTCCCTATATATTTGTCCTGCTGCCTCAGGACTTGGAAAAGTACATTAACTCAGTGGGTAAAACAGCTTTTATTTTCATGTGATCATCATTTTCCACATTTTTTTCCTTCTCACTGTGCCTAAGTATGTGTTTTTAAATAGAATGAAGAACAACTCTTAAAGCAAAGGTAAGCTACACATCAACAAAAGCTCAGGTAACCAAAAGGAACTGACTGGATGGGAAAGATGATGCTACTAATAGTGCTTTAATGTTTAAGTATTAGATACATTTACAAAGGTCACTAAATTTTTTCCAGATATTCCAGATATGTTAAGAATTTACTATATTATTACCTGAAATATAGTACAGATAAACTTAGTTTGATAATTAGTTTAAAGGAGAAAAGAGAAACAAAAAATAATAAATGAAATACTCTTTAACTGTACTAGATCCCTTAGCAGCAAAGGTTAAGATCATTTCTATATGTAGCTACAAACTGACAACATATACAGAACAAATTTCAGTATAATTGGGAAATTCAGTGTTCTTTGGTTTAAGACACTTTCTAATAATTGTTTGTTTTGTTTTTCAAGACAGGATTTCTCTGTGTAGCCCTGGCTGTCCTAGACTCACTATGTAGACCAGGCCAGCCTCGAACTCAGAGATCCACCTGCCTCCACCTTCCAAGTGCTGGGATTATAGGCATGCACCACTGCACCTGGCTCATTTTAATACATTTTTAATTCTAGACTTTTGATAGCTTTCTTCAGACAGTTCTACAATGTTTTATCAAAAATGAGTGAATATAAAAGACATATTCATAAATAAGGAAGCTATAGTGGTTCATGTGTATAACCTCAGCACTTAGGTAGCAGAGGACTGTGGGTCTCAGGTCAGCCTAGGATACACAGCAAGACATTATCAACCAACCAGCCAATCAATTCATAAATAAGCACTTTTTGAAAAATAAAAATAAACACTATCATACTAGTCCCATTTTACTTTTAATAGAAAAAAAAATGGCAACAAAAAAATAAAGTTGGGGCTGGGACAATAGCTCAGCTGGTAAGGAGCTTGCTGTGCAACTGTGAATTCAGAAAACCGGAATTCAGATCCCCAAAACCTATGTAAAAGTCCAAATCCCAGTATATGGGAATCAGAGATAGGGAATGGGGCATCAGGTTCAGTGAGAAACCCTGCTTCAATATGGAAGGTGGAGAGTGATTGAGAAAGACAATTGGTCTTAACCTCAAAACTTACACATGAATGCAAAAGTGCATGTGTGCACACACCTACAAAAGGCCCATACATATACACCATACATACACACAAGAAAAAAGGTGAAATTCAATACATCAATTCCTAATCTCTATTTTATGCCCTAAATATATCATATCATGTCATATCATATTAAGTTAGAGGACTGAGGGGAAACATCACAAACATTAAATAAAATGTACCTGTACTTACAGCTTCAGCTTGTTGTTGAAACAACTGATTCTGATTCTCTCCATCTTCTGTTGCATCCCCAATCACCCCAGAAGTGGGAAACTCACAATTTCCAAGAGCAGCATTCCAATTGCTAGGGAAAACACTTGTCCTTTTAGGAGTTAAATGTCCCGAATCTAAACAGTGCATGGCTATAAAGCCTCCCTACACAAAGGAAAAATGAGGAAAAATCAGCCTCTACTCCATTCTAGCACAAATAATACCTCCTAGGAGCCAAGATTTTCAAATGGAGCAAGGGAGTAGGGGAAGGAGGCCTTAGCTGAGAGAGGAACTAACATTTACCCAGCATCTCCCATGTGTTAATAATTTAGGTAGACTATCTCACCTAGTTCTTATACAATCCTATAAGCTTAGGTATCATATTTTAGTGTAATAGCTAATTGTTGCCGTCAGCTTCTACTTCTGGAACCAACTAAAACCCATGCAGCTGGGCACACCTGTGAAGGATTTTCCTTGATTGGATGATTTTAGGTAGAAAGACCTACACTAATCTAGGTCACCTTCTGGTGGCAGCCCACATAAAAAGACATGAAGAAGAAAGCTTTTGGGTTCCCGCCTACTCGCTCTCATTCGCACTGGCAACTTCATCTATCATATTGCTGATGCATCCCTTCACTGGGATTAGAAGGAGCTCCTTTTAACACCTAAGAATCCTCTGGGACTCTAGAACCAGATTAAAACTGCGGAGTCCCATGGCCTGAAGACTACAGGATTCCTGGCCTTTTCATTAGAGATAGACTTTGTTGGACTACTCAGACCACAGCCTGCAAGCCATTCTTATAAATTCTCCATCTGTTCTGTTTCTTTATAAAGCCTTAATATGCATATCATGTATATATAACACATAGCATATAGAAATACATAAATTGTATATATGTATACAGTAACTTTTTGAGACAGGATGTTATTCTGTAACCCAGGTTGGAACTTGTGGCAATCCTCCTGCCTCAGCCTCCCAAGTACTGAGATTATAGGTATGAGCCACCATACTCAGCATTTGTCTATTTTATAGATAAGGAAACTATTATGCAATCAGAAAAGTTAAGTAATTAACCCAAGGTAACATAGCTAGAAGGTGGCAAAGATGGAATTCAAACTTACATCTGCATCCAAAATCCTGACATTCTCCTGAAGTATTTAGTGTGAGAAAAAAGTAAGTCAGAACAACACAGGAATAAAGTTTCTCTATATGAAAATTGACTGTGCTCAGTAGAAAGCTAGACTTTTAACAACAAAGAATCAAGAGAAGTGATCCTGTTCCCACCTCACAGCTTGTCTCAAGACACACATGCTTTCCATTCAAGCTACCATACTTCAGAACTTACTGCCTTGTAAGATTTCTGAAGTTGTTGCCTTTTCTTCAGCTTAACCTGCTGATTTACCCGCTGTCTGACTTGTCTCTGAAAATGTTTCAGAGATTCTTGCTTTCTTCGTTGCTGTTCTTTTATTTCCTCTTCAATTATGTATGCTGAGGTCTTTAAAGAGAAAAAACAGAAAATAGACTTAAATGTCACTGATTTTGGCCATGAGGAATGTAATGAATGCAGAAATGCTAGCACATAATTGTGAAGAACAGAAACTGAGTTCTATAATCTGGTCTCCAGAAGAGCAAGGAAATCACAGTTCGAAACCACTGATCTAAGTGTACCTAGTGAGTCCCAAGAACTCAAAGCACACCAGAAACAAAAAATCTATAATTTGTGAATATTCATATCAAATCTTAATGTTTTATTAAACTAAAACTAAAGATGACTTGATTAATTAACAAATGGATTTTGACCCATTTGTGTTTACAATTTCTTATATAAGCTGCAGATACACAATATCGCTCACAGTTCACCAGAAGCATTCCCAATGCCTTCACACTCAGAATTAGCCACCCCCTTTTTGGATGGAAGGAGACATGTCACTATTATAGCCCTAGCTAGTCTACAGCACACTACACAGTTGAAGCTGACCTCAAATTCCCACCTCCGTCTCCCAAGTGTCTTTCCACTCCATTTTTAAGTAAGCTTTCCTTTCACCCACCTAGTAAAGGCCTTAGTCTTCAAGACGATGCAGTATCCCAGTGCTTTCCTCACAGCAATTATGCTGTAGCACATTTCATTTTCATATGAATAAAATGTAGCATGTAGCACTTAGTAAGTCTCCTACTAGATTATAAATTCTGAGGGCAGGAAATGTTTAACACTCCTTTCTCTGGATAATTTATGTATGATGAAAGTAATGCTTAAATTATATAGAAATTAGTCTTCAAAAAATGACATACCTTAACCTAAATAAATCAAGTCTCTTGGTATTGATGTTATTGTGTAGTCTTTCCACACACTGAATTTTATCTATTGTTGTATAAACAACAGAATGAGGCAGAAATATTGGGCCATGAATTCCACAACAAGGTATTAAGCAACTTCTGCTGGAGCTCTAGAATGTTCACCATGCGGAAAGCCAATAACACAAAGAAGTCTGACTACTCTCAGACTCCCATGTAGAGGGAAGCATGGCTAGCCAACCCAGCTATATGGTAGGGAGCAATATCCAGGCAGCCCCCAAGTGTTCTAACCATCCTAGCCCAAATGCCACACAGGTGAAAAAGTCTTACTGGACATTACAGCCTACAAAGTACCAAGAACTTCAACAGCCAAGCCCACCAAGCTGTCCTGAATACATCCAGTTACGTAAGCCACTCAACTGAGGCCCAGGACACTGAAGCAGCAAGACGTGCTACACTCCTGACACACAATATCACCTGCTTTATGTCACTATATTCTGATATGGTTGGGGGGATGTTAACATGCAAAAGAAATCATATATAAGACCACAGTGACTTTTCATAATTTAATGACAAAAGAGAAATGAATTTCTGAAGCTATGAGGCTTTTTAAACCTTGAAATGTTACCTTCTTCTTTAGAACAGGCATGTCCTGAGAGAAGACAGCTTTACAAGTAACTATTTACCATATCTCTGATTGACAGCTGTGGCTGTTAATGCGGATGGATTCCTAGATTAAATATGTGTTAGTAACAGAGTTCTACCAGATGCTTTACCAAAATCCCTTTGACTGGAACTGATTACAAAATTATTTAAAAGGAGGAGACAATCTATACGTTTCAAGAGTTTAATATTCGGAATGAGTGAGAACTTAAACTATTTAAAACCACAAAAAAAGGTGTTAAGGTAACAACTTTTGAGCAGTTTGCTACTACTGACATTATAAAGGTGTCTTAGTAATTATACAGATGTACTAAAGAAGTGAGATTGCTCAGCAGGTAAAGGCTCTGATGAGCTGAGGGCCATCACCAAGAACCACATGGTGGAAGGAGAGAACCAATTTTGATTTCCACATGCTTTCTGACCTCCACACCATACATACACAAATAAACAGTTGGAATTAAAGTTTTTTAAAGTGTACTGAGTTAGTAATAAAAGAACTTTGTACCAATTCTTATTTATTGATTCCCATTTCACCCACCTTTTTCAGAGCTTTCCCCTCCTCCATTCCCTATTACTACAGAAATTTTGATGGTATGCTTCATGTCTAGATTGCTTTAATTTATTCTGATTTGTTCCCCTAAATCTAATCTCTCCCTAACCCTTAAAACTTTGTGGCAATTAATCTAATCAAAACAGCTTGATCATGGAACTTACCTATAAATCTTAAATAGTGAATAATGTCAATACTTTCCCCAAGACTTTCTATAGTTTCTCGTTCCCCCCAATTTTCAGATCCTGTCAGCTGCACCATCCTGGTACTAAGCCTTCCCCTCCAAACAATCTAACACACCCTTCTAATCACCACTTACTTACTTCCTCCTGTCCTTAATTCCCCTCCCTAGGACAATCACCTCATCTCTGCCTATCAAGACTCTTTCAAACTTCCCTGGGTTCACACCAGCCCAGTCATATCTTTCTTCCTTGATTGGGAGATTCTTAGCACCTAATCAAATGCTAATCAGATTTCCTCCTGAAAGGCAGCAAGGTAGGCATAAATCAATGAATATGGTATACTCCATTATTATTATTAACATTTATAATTGTGGTGAGTTGATATTGAGTTTTGTTTTGTTTGAGACAGGGTCTTACTATGACCAAGCCTCAAATTCAGAAATCTACCTGCCACTGCCGAGTGCTAATATAAAAGGCGTATGCCACCATATCTAGTCATTTGTAACTTTTTAATATTAATTTTTATCTTTTGTGTGACTGTTTTGCCTACATGTACATTTATGCATCACATGCTTACAGTGTCCTCAGGGACCAGAAGCTTTAGAGTCTCTGGAACTGAAGTTAAAAAACAGTTGTTAGTTACCACATAGGTGCTGGGAATTCTGGAAGAGCAGCCAGTTCTCTTAATTGCTGAGCCATCTCTCCAGCCCAAAATTCTTAAACTTTAGTGTGCGTGTGTGTGTGTGTGTGTAGACATGTGACTGTATGGTATGATCTCATGTGTGGAGCTCAGGACTTTTCAGGAGTTGGCTCTCTCCTTCTGCCTGGTTTTGAGGCAGGGTCTCTCTTTATCTCTGCTGCTTCACTCCAGGCTATCAGGCCTACAAGCTTCTCCTATCTCTGCCTCCCATCTCAATACAGGATTGTGGGGATTATACCACCCCACCCAGCTTGCACCTGGATTCCAGGAGTAGAACCTCAGTTCATCAGACTTGCAGAACAAGTATTTTCACCTAAGCCATCTCCCAGATCCTCCTATCATGTTTAAATGTCTTGTTTCTCCTCTACAATCAAGAACACTAAGAATATATTTTTTACCCATGTTTAGTACCTTATGTATACTAAGAACATTGCACATTTCCTATATTCCATAAATATCTACTATGTATCTATGTACATCAGGAAGTATTTAATTGAAAAACAAGGGGTGTGGAACATGGCTTGTTCCCTATGCATAATAAAATCTGAAAAAAGAGCTAAAGAGTAATCTGTTGAAATACCTGCAAAAATGTGTTAGTACGTGTAAACTTACAAAAAGGCATCCCTTCATCTGAAATTCTGCCTATCTGCATTTATTGCATTTCCATTCTTTCGCAGCCAACAGACCATTTTTTCTTCATTCATTCAACAAATACATCCTTAAAGATCTATTTTACCCCAAAACAGGACAGAAAACAGGACGTTCCCTGACCTCGTGGAATTTACAACTTTCTCAGAGTATCTGTCAGGATTAAGTTCTTTTATTTTCTTATTGCATTTTGCCTGGATCTTCATTTGAAAACTTATAAACTTTGAGCAACTAATTAACATTTAAAGGGTGACCAACTGCCATTCTTCTTATGTTACAGTCTCTGGAAGATGTACACAGTTCCTATGTCTAACACGGCAAACAATCATGTGTGTTAAGCAAACTAGTCTAGTGGCTGTATATATAGTAAGTAAGTAAATATTTGATTATGTCAACCAAAGATGAGGCAAGTTTTGGAAAATACATCATTATTGTATAATTCTAACTCAAGAATATAATCTGTAACAGCATCCTCCAGCTGTTCATCTTTAAGCACCCAAAATTAGAAAAGACGAATTAAAAAAAAAAAAAAGGTGGGCAGGGAATCACAGTATCTGGGTCAACTAACACTCACATGTGCTGGAATTTCCGAGCAATTTGGTTTAGCAGGTTCCACCCAAGCCCCAACTGGTATTATGGCCTGGTTCCTCTCTGCCAGCACTGCCAAAACGTCCTTGCTCTTCATGGGGTTTAAAGCCAGGGGCAATTTTGTGGGGTTCCGAGGCTTCTTGAGGGGCGCCATACCTCCTGGCATTGACTTCTGGTTAGGAGAAAAGAGAGAGGAGCAAGAAATAAAGACGGGGTTGGGGGAGGGATGGCTTAAAAATTACTTTCTGGAAGGAACGGAGATGAGATGAGAAGAGGAACGAGGATTCGCTTGGGACATGAAACACCTCCCAGAGAGGAGCAGAGGCGGGCGCTAGGGACAGGTCTTGGGTCTGAGAGAACCGGCTGAGGCGGAAAGCGCGGTCCTGCGCGAGCCGGGGCGGGGGTGGAGGGGTGTCAGAGGCCCGGGCAGGAGGCGGGGGTCCTCGGAAGCCGGTTCCTGGAGGGGGGTGGTGGCGTCTGAAGCCCGAGGCAGGAGGGCGGGGTCCTGGGAAGCTACGCCGGTTTGGACAAGGAACCTGTGAAACTCGGAGCCCGCCGCGACCCGGACCTTCTCACACTCAAACTCCGCGGGCTGCTACGCAAAGCAAGGACAACAAACCGCCATACCGCGTCGGACGCCCGCCCTGCCTCTTCCGGCTTCGCATCTTCCCTTCTGGACTAGGAAGGCGGGGAGCCGGCGCTGTGGTTGCGTCACTTCCGCTTCCCGTCCTTTGGTTGGGAGGACTGGAACGCGGTGGTTAGTTTCTGCAGTTCTGCACGCTGACGTTATGGTCATCTCGAATCTCGTAGATGTCATGCATGATGAGCAGGCAAGCAAGGGTTCACAGTTGAAAACCCCGGAAAAGACACAGCAGTTCTCAACCCGAGGGTCGCTACCCCTTTGGGGGGGTCGTATATCAGATATCCTGCAATCAGATATTTATATTACAACTGATGATAGCAGCAAAATTACAGTTACGAAGTAGCAACGAAATTTTATGGTTTGGGGGACACCAGGACATGAGAAATTGTATTAAAGGGTCGCAGCATTAGGAAGGTTGAGAACCACTGGGCTAGAACATCCTGCTGGGGTATCCTAAAGAGACAGACCAAGACCGGACTGCTTCTCCATAGCACTCACAAGGTTTACAACGCTAACTCAGGATTGCGTGTTCTTTTGTGGGTGACCATCGCAAGCCATTGAGTGGTCACCATCTGAACTCCAAAGAGTGCTGGGGACATTTCATTAAACCTGAGCGATGCACAGTCTTTCGTTCAAGGTGTATGTGTGGGTGTGTGTGGGTGCAAAATGAAATACGCAGCCCCCTTAATATTTTTGCTTTTAAGTTAGGGTCCCATGCTGCACTCGAACTCACTATGTAGCCCAGGCCACCAACTTGCAGTCCCACTGCCTTTGTTTTCTCAGTGGCTGGTGTTACAGGCATGTGACAACAGTTCCACCTCAGCGTATGTTCTTGCAAGCATGTAATGTATCGGTGCATTTTCTAGGTATTCTCAACACTACCTGTGAACAAAAATTTCTTGCTTGTGGAATTCACAGTGTGTTGAATTGACATTGATAGGACATCCCTGAGAAGATTTCACTAAGGCAACTGAAGTTGTTCTTTGAGTTCTGTTTTTATTTCATTTTACTCAGTATTGGAAATTAAGCCCAGGGCCTCATACATACTAGTCAAGAACTATATCCCCTGACAACTTCTTTTTTACTAAAGCCCTTTAAAACAAAGACTATATGAAATCATGGAACAAGCCATTATAATGGTAGGATTTTAGGTGTTTAGTTGGGTTTTGATAAGTTTTAATAGGATCTCTTAGGTAGTTCAGGTTCTTTCCTAATTCAGTATTCCAGGGTCTTGAATAAAAAGCATACAACATCGTACCCAGGAATGAGAATATTCCAGGAAGGAGCTGGAGAGATAGATCAATGGTTAAGAATGCTTAACCACTTATCTCTTCCAGAGGACCAGAGTTCAGATCCCAGCACCCATATGCTCAAAACCTACTACTCTAGATCCAGGTATCCAGTGTCCTCTTCTGGCCTCCCTAGGCCTGTGCAAACAGTTTTTGGGAAAGGTGTTATTAAGTAGCTCCTTGCCTTCTCCAAACCTTCCCTCAAATTCTTTATTTTCCATTAAGGCCTAGGTCAGAGGTTTTCTAAAAAGCCATACTCATAAATCCAGAGAATTCCCATTGGAGATCTGGCTAATTTTCTAATCTCTTCTGCAAACCCTGTATTCTGCCTGGCTGGGATTCGTTGCTTAGTAAGAAAAACTGTAGATTTAGAAGAGTGCATCTTTGGAAGTTTAAAATACCAAGGGGTTGCTGGCAACAGAGTATGGAGTCCCTACTCCAGAGCAGCCCTCAGCAGAGTTAAAAAAAAAAAAAAAATCCTTTTTCTGCTGCTGGGAATCCCTGATCATGTGTGCACAAAGCACCAAGTCTCTTTGTTCTTGGCAGCACTCCATCCAACACAGAACCAATTGTTTGTTGAACACCAGGGAGCCGTTTGCTATTGGTCACTACTCTCCTCTGTTTGTGACCAGCTGAACCATACTTGTAACAATGTAGAAAACTCCGTCACATTTAAGTCCTCAGAGCCTGTGCCAAGAAGAAGCTCTATATCAGTTGCCCCTCCCACACCTCTCCCCACCCCTGCCACTCTACCCTAGCCTTAGAAAAAAGGGAGGGATCACCCATAGGTACTAACTCACCCACCCTGGCACATTAAATCCATGCAAGACTAGACACATCCTCTCCCACTGAAGCCAGACAAGGCCCCAGTTAGGGGAACAGGATCCAAAGGGAGGCATCAGAGTCACAGAGGACACTGCTCCAGTTGTTGGGGGACCCACATGAAGGCCAAGCTGTGCATCCGCTATATATGCAAGGGGCCTAGGACTAATCTATGCATGCGTTTTGGTTGGTGGTTCAGTCTTTGTGAGCCTCCCTAGGCCCAGGTTAGTTGACTCTAGATTTTTCTGTGGAGTCCTTGACCCCTCAAGCTCCCTCAGTTGTTCCCTCAAGTCTTCCATAGGACTCCCCTAGCTCTGTCTAATGTTCAGCTGTGGATCTCTGCATCTGTTTCCATCAGCTGCTGGGTGAAGCCTCTCAGAGGAGTTATGCCTACAAGCATAGTTATGTCTCAGAGATTCCTGTCTACATGCATAGTCCTGGCTATTCTGGAACTCACTATGTAGACTTTAAATTCTCAGACCTGCCTGCCTCTGCCTCTAGAGTGTTGAGATTAAAAGCATGCACCACCACACCTGGCAGGGATATCTGATTTGTTTGTTTGTTTGTTTGTTTGTTTGTTTTTGTTCCTGGAGACAGGGTTTCTCTATGCCCTGGTTATACTGGGACTTACTCTGTCCACCAGGCTGGCCTGGAACTCACAATTAATTAAAATTAAAGCCTATTGTGACGATGCATACCTGTAATCCCAGCACTCAAAAGGCTGAAGCAGGAAAAGCACCTTAAATTTGAAACTAGACTAAGTGATATAGTGAGTGCAAGGCCAGCCTCTGCTATCTAGCAAGACCATGTCTCAAAAACATAAATTAATTAAGTAAAACTCAACATTTGTTTTCTCAGTCCTATTAGTCACGTAGCACTAACCTCTACCATACTTGACACTATCAGTATAGAACCTTCCCACTATTTTGGGAAGTTATAATGAATTGTGATAATACTCTGTAGCATCTAGCAACCATGTTCCCATCAAAAAACAGTCTAAAGACTTTTGAGCGGTGAAGCTGAAACCAATAGCAAATGATTGTCATGACACTTGAACATCTCACTTTCCTTCCGCTTCCCCCAGTTTCATTATTAACACAAGAAATACCCCCACCTGCTAATAGTTCAACGTGAACTTTTATTATTGATGCCCAAAGGATGTGTACTGTTGTTGTTGTTTGAGACAAGGGCTCATTATATAGCTCGGTGTCCTTGAACTCACTATGTAGACCATGCTGGCGTTGAACTCAGAGCTCTTCCTATCTCTGCCTCCCAGTGCTGGGATTAAAGGTGCACATCATTAGCCCAGCCTAGCAAAGGCTCTTCACAACTCACATTCCTTAGCTTCCAGATAACCCAGCCTGACTATGGTCAGGATCTGTAAGATAAGCAAAACCAAATACTTTAAGTGTTGCCACAAGGAGTGAAATTTTGGCACTGTCTTTGAAGCCACCTCCCCTAACAGTTTAGTGCAGATCTACTTTTTTCCTCCACTTTTATCATATATAACAACCCCTCCCCATTTGGTGTTGTTTGTTATTTGTGTGGGGGTGAAGTTTTATTTCTCAAGGTTCTATGACTCATCTTTTCTCCCACATCCTGTCTCAGAGCCCTTCTTTTTTCATCTTGTTTTAAGATTTTAAGAAAGTGTGTGTGTGTGTGTGTGTGTGTGTGTGTGTGTGTGTGTGTGTGTAAATCAGAAGGCGGTGCTGGATCACCTGGAGCTGGAGTTACAGGAAGTTGTGAGCTGTCCACCAAATTCAGGTCCTCTGAAATCACAGGAAGTGATCTTAAATTGCTGAGCCATCTCTGCAGTTCCTACAAGCCCTCTTTCTTTCTGTTCACTCTTTGCTTTGGGGTCTGGCTGTGGGCAGTAAATAGAATGCTTGCCTAGCATTCATGAAGTCCTGAGTTTGATCCTCAGCATCATAAAACCAGGAAAGAGCCATAAGCGTAGCTTTCAGAAGGTGGAGGCAGGAGGATAAAGTAGTTCAAGATCTTTCTCATCCAAATAGTAAGTTCAAGGCTAAACTTACTAAAGGAGATTCTATCTTTTAAAAAAAAAAAGTACTTAAAAATAATTTGTAAACAGCGATTCAAATGTAATACCAATAATCTAACACTAACTGAGGATTGAGGTGCAGTTTCCCTAACTGTACTTAAGCTTCTAAAGAGTAGCTGCCAACAATTACTTGCTTTTTTTTTTTTTTTTTTTTTTTTTTTTCTGCTGGGACAGATCCCAAGGCCTTGTTCATGCCAAGCACATGCTCTACCACTGAGCTCCAGCCCCAGGCCAGCTATTGGTTTTGAATATGCTGCTCCCCTTCTCATGGTCCACCATTCTTAATGTTTAGGACACAGAGTTCTGTTCACACAGTAGGCAATTATTGGATACTGGCCAGCTGATTTTCATTCCTGTGCCTCCCTCTTTGAGAGGCGGCTGAGGAGGATGAGAACGAATCCTCCGCTGGGATGGTGGTGTTGGGTGGACACCATCTGAGGACCTGAAGGAAGGGAAACAATGGTGCTTTTTGAGGAGTGGGCATCATCTGTGGCTTCCTGTGATTTCCCGTCCTGTTTATAGCCAACTCTGAAGACTTACAAACACTGAGCTCCAAAGATGCTCTCAGAATGTCCTCACAGCTCGTCTTAAGTAGGTCAGAGAAAGCTGGCTGGCTCTCTCTAATTCTTTAAGGCCAATTAATTTCTTCCCTTTGTTCCTCTGGAGAGCTGCTGAATAGGGCACGTTTAGCAACCACAGCCACAGGCCTGAGTTCCTCAGAGCTTCTGAGGAGGTGGGAATTCTATTCAGAAATCAAATATTTACTCTCAGCACAAAAGGCTTTGATGTGTTTTCGGCTTCCAGGACAGAAATGAACGCACCT